TTCAGTAAATAGAAATTATGGAAAAGACCAGGTAGAGTGGATAAATCTCAGTGTACCCCAAAATCAAATTCTGGTATTATTTTCAACACAATTAAGAAACTCCTTTTCCACTTTAATGTGAATAAGTAAAATAAAAAAATTATCTGTCCAGATTTATTTATTTATTTATTTTACATTATAGCAATGATGAGAGTTTTAAGGAACATGTACTTAAACATCAAAAGAAAAGTTATAAAGGCAAAATACATTATTTTGAGGTAAAATACAACTTTTTTTTAGATTCACACTAATAATGGCTTTGTTTTAGTACGATAAACCAAAAACAGAAACAAAATAGCATAAAACATCTTTCCACAAGAGTGTAAACACAAAGTTACATGCAAAAGAAAAATGCAAAACTGATTTAAAAAGTGACCTCAACACAAGCACCTTCATTCAATATACCGCATCTCTCATCACAATAAAGAACTATCCAAAACTTTACATTTTCATCCATATGAATATCATATGACAGGTAGAATATTCACAGCAGTAGAAAATGTTTTCAGAAGCCAACAATCACACAGCAATGGACGCAAGAGAAAGCACTTCAAAAGGAGTGACAGCTGTTACAGTATGATGCATGATGCTGTGATCACTGTTCTTGGCATTATGGGTACATGTGAATCACTCAGCTGCAGAGAGATCATCCTCCTCGGCGTAAGTGCTCCTATAGCTGCCGTTGAGATGAGCTTGAGGAGATCTGTCGTCACTGCCCACAGAGCCCGACCCATCCATGTCACTGTCATACTCGTGGTCCACCTCCTCGTAGCAACTCTCCATCTGCAAAATCAAACCACAACTCAGGAAAGGGCAAACAACACTTTCCATTCAGTAAATCTGACTGAAAGCATCCCACTGGCTGCAGGCTTCATTTAAATAACCCTTCAAGGGTTAGACGCAGTAAGACCGTATCTCACTTGGGTGTTAATAACCCCCAAATTCATCATTAATTCCCATATGTAACACTGCTTAAAGGGGTCATCGGATGCCCATTTTGCACAAGTTGATATGATTCTTTAGGGTCTTAATGAAAAGTCTATAACATACTTTGGTTAAAATTTCTCAATGGTAGTGTAAAAAACAACCTTTTTACCCTGTCAAAATCAGCTCTGTTTTCAGCACGCGGTTCTAGTCCATGTTGCTTTAAATGCTAATGAGCTCTGCTCACGGTCTCTTCCGTGCAGTGACGAGCCGTTCGCATGATACTGTTTACTTTAGCCATGGAACTTGCTAACTAGCACGCTATTAGGAAAGGCGATTTGCCAAAAATCATTAGGATATTAAGTAAAGTTCATGTTCCATGAAAATATTTTGTAAATTTCCTACTGTAAATATATCAAACCTTTTTTATTTTGATTTTTTTGCACCCTCATATTCCAGATTTTCAAATAGTTGTATCTCGACCAAATATTGTCCTATCCTAACAAACCATACATCAATGAAAGCTTATTTATTCAGCTTTCAATATGATGTATAAATCTCAATTTCAAACAATTGACCCTTGTGACTGGTTTTGTGGTCTAGGGTCACATATTTATTTTTCTTTCAGGCTTACCATTTGTATGCTTCTGAGTATTAAACGTCCTTAACACTTGAGCCAGTTACTTAGTGTGTTGCAATAAAGAATGCACATTTACAAGGCATCTAGAAGTCTAGGAGTATATAAAAATAACCATAACAACCCATGACTTGAGTAACAAACTGAAGTAATCAAAAAACAAATTTGTTTTGCCAGTAACAGAGGGGAGGTTTGCTGAACTGCACATGAAAAACCAATATATTACAAAAAATGATGAAATGAATCATGTAATTTTTGCCGTGCACCTATGCTATATAAACTTGTATTCTTTTTGTCGGGGGATTCTCTGTGATTGGTATGAGGTCCTCCGGGCCGTGATTAAAGCATATTCAAAGGCACTGTCTGGAGTCTCTCTGGTTACTGCTGCACAGCAGGTTATGCTAAGTTCACACTACTGGATTTTAAGCCTGATTTTAGCCCGATTTTAGGTCGGGCTGTGATCGGGGGGAAATCAGCGGGTGATCGGCGCTCTGCAATCTTTATGTGTGAACTACTCAACATCGCATCAAAGAGGCTCGCTGACGCGTCGCCGATACCTCGCCGACGGCAAACAAATATCTAGCATGCCAAATATCTGGACCGGTCGGCCGACTTGACATCACGTGGTGTCAGGTGTTGTGACGAGCTACAGCCAATGAGAGAGCAAGGCATGGGTTGAGGGCACCGGAAGAAAAACAACACCAGCAGCAGCAACATGGCTTAAAGGGATACTGCACCCCAAAATGAAAATTTTGTCATTAATCCCTTAATGACAATGACACTCGTCTCCTCTGTGTCTCTCCGCATCACCATTTTGGAGAATATCCGCTGGAGGCAAGCAGCGTACGCTATTCTGTCAGCCGTGACACAAGGATACGTTTTCTAAGTGTATTTACACTTTGATTTGAACGAAAACAGCGCATCAATAGTGTACGCTGCTTGCGTTCAGCGGATATTCTCCAAAATGGCGCTACAGTGATGCGGAGAGACACAGAGGAGACGAATTGTTGAATAAAGTCGTTATTTTAGTTTTCTTCGCGTACAAAAAGTATTCTCGTCACTTCATAATGTTACGGTTGAACCACTGATGGCAGATGGACTATTCTGACGATGTCTTTCATACTTTTCTGGACCTTGACAGTGTAATTCACTTGGCAGTCAATCGGACAGTCACAAGACTCCCAGTTTTCATCCAAAATATCTTAAATTGTGTTCCGAAGACGAACAAAGCTTTTACGGGTTTGGAACAACATGGGGGTAAAGTGATTAATGACAAAATTTTCATTTTGGAGTATCCGTTTAAAGAAAAGTTTAGACACAATAAATGGAGCAACATTTTTCATCGAGCAAACAGCTTGCAGCGCTAATTTCTTCCCGACATTCATTTTCCTGTGTCACGTGTTGTTTCGTGTCATTCCCGTTCCAATTCTCGTGTGTGTTTTCGTGACAAAACGTAGTTTGTAGAGTCGTTGGGTGACAGAGTTGTTGTTGTCAGCTCGTGTAGTGTGTAACCCCCGGTTGCGGATCATTTACGTAGTGTGAACACCACAACGACTTAAAGACAGACAATCAAGTCATGTAGTCTGAACAGCACCAGCGTTCTGCCAACGTTTTAAGTCGTGTAGTGCAGTGTTTCTCAACCAGGGGTCCGTGGACCCCTAGTGGTCCTTGACATAAGGCCAGGGGGTCCGTATAAAGTATGAATTTTTGTATAAATTTTGTATATTTTGACATGACATGTTCCCATGAAAGAAAAATCCAATATAGCTGATGATATGGCCAAATACTGGACAAGTCAGCTAACTTGAATTATACTTGACAGCATTTGGTCCTCACAAAGACACAAATGATACGCGTCAATTTTGTTCTGGGGGTCCTTGGATGGTTCTGAATTGGACTGGGGTCCGGTACGCCAAAATGTTGAGATTCACTGGTGTAGTGTGAACTTAGCCTTAGTGGAACATTAAAGATCTTAGTCCCGAGTTATAGTGCTCAAAAGGGGCAAGATGTGGTCCGACACAGTAGGGTGTCGCCAGTAGACGTGCTAGAGCATAAACTATGTTAGTGTTGCCAGGAGACACTTTGGGTGTCGCCAGTAGATGCCCTCAGGTAAACTTAAGTTAGGCGCATAGGGGAATTTCTACCACAACGCATTAAAATTAACAAAAGTGACAGTAATGACATTTAGAATGTTACAAAAGATTTCTATTTCAAATAAATGCTATTTTTTTCTATTCATCAAAGAATCTGAAAAAAGTAGCACGGTTTCCACAAAAATATTAAGCAGCACATCTTTTCAATATTGATAAGCAGCATTAGTATCATTTCTGAAGGATCATGTGACACTGAATACTGGAGTAATGATGCTGAAATTTCAGCTTTGCCATCACAAGAATATATTACATTTTAAAATATATTAAAAGACAAAACTGTTTTAACTACTAATATTACTGTATTTTTGATTAATTAAATGCAGCCTTGGTGAAAATAAGAGCCATTTTTCAAAAACATAAAAATAAATCTTACTGATCAAACTAAATAAAATAAATCTTACCCCAATGTTTTAAATATATAGCATAATATTGTACAGTAATCATATTTATAAAAGTCACATAAAAGCATATAAATCAAGAAAACACTACAGACTGATGTTTTAATGTACCATGTCAAAAATGTTTTCCTCGGATGGCAAAAATGTCCAAAAAAAAAACAAAAAAAAAAACTAGACCGGTTCACACTTAGTCAAAAGGATGTAAGATTTGGGGGGAAATAGAAAAGCTTTACGGTTAAAACAGACATATTGATGGCTATCAGAGGTAGACAGGCGTGAAAAACACTTTAAAAGTCAATCTTTGAGAGGATCAGCTGTGATCATCTGTTTCTTATCTATAAAAACTAGAGCAGCACGCTGATACAGTACAGCTGAGTTACATGTTGTGCAAGTTATTTAAACTAAAGCCACACAGTGCACTCTTTGAGATGCATTGGGAGCAATGAGTCCCTCAACATGAGCATTAGAGGTATAGAGTTTACATTTATCACTTCAATATGCAGATATAATAGCAATATAATATAATAGTATCAATGCAAACTGGTTATTAATCCAGTAAGTTGAGTACATAAGAAACTGACATTGGTTGGAAGAAGACTTTGTGACTTCAGCTCTTCTCCCATAACCAAACCCACAATCTGATTAGCAGCACACTGCTCTAACCGTCAGTCCACACGCCTCCGGAGATTAGCTGTACCTGGTAATGGCGTAGTTTCATGAAAACCACAACATGAATAAAGTGACTGTACTTACATGGTGCTATTAACATTATAAGTCATAAAGTACTTGTGCTGGTGTGAATTTACGTAACCTCAGACCAAAATAACCAAGTCATTTTGCTTGTGTTTCATAAATAAAGCTTAATGTGTAAATGTACATGAGCTATGTATTTGAAATATGAATTGGACACACCAGTGATGGTTTAGCTTTATGTTCATAATCCCTGCTTTTCCTCCTGGATGTTGAGGTTTCTGTCCTTTCCCTGCTACTGTCCCGTCCTTTATCCCTCTTTTTATCTTTCTTTCCTCTGAAAATGCACAGAAGAAATTAAGATTTTAATAAGGAGTCTGATCGTACAATAGCATCAGACACAAATGTTCACACTCAGTAAACCTTTTAGATGGTGATGGTGACCTGGCTCTCCGCCTTGGTGACCTGGATCGGGATCTGCTTCTTTTCTTATGGACTCTGTGAGATAAAGGAAAATAAAAAGATTTTTATCTAAGCACACAAGCTAACTTCTAAAAAAATAAATAAAATGTAACTTTTCCCCAGTAAAAATTATTCTTCCAACTAAATTTATACATCGATATAAAACTGTATTATAAGACTAATTTTCACAGAATATCTTGGAAAGGCACTAAGGGTGGCCACCCAAATATAAGACAGTTCTATATTGTTTACTTCTTTGGTCACTTCATGATTCTCAAACTTCCCTTTGTTTTATTTCATCGTTTTGGTTACAAATAATTATTCGTAAAAAAAAAAAAGAAAAAAGAAAATGAATGAGCAGGTGTACATTTATTTTATTTATTTATTATATTTCTTAAATGTACTTATTTCATTAACTTTTTTTTTTTTGCATTGTAGGTGATATTTTAAACATGCAAAGTCTGTTGCAGGTTTAATACGGACACTTTCTTCTGACCTGCTTATACTGTGGGAACATCTAGAGCCAGTGTAGCCTTTGGGAGGCATCCTTCCCTTTTTGTCCCGTGGCCTCATTTCTTCCCAATCATCATCCTTCCTTGCTTTGCTGTCCTTGTCCTTCCTTTGGTCCCTGTGTATGAGACACAACACTTGTCTGAAATGTCCTTTGTAGGAACAAAACAGAATATGAGTGTAAAGAGTTAACCTAACGATATGGTGGTGCAGGTTAACCTAGAATGAGATAGACTCCGGCTGTGTTTCCTTTCTCGGGAACATGAGCGTCTCCTATGGGGCCCACGGGAGTCATTCACACTCTGCCGTGATCTCTGGGACAGGCGTCCCCTTTAAACACCATTGATAAAATAAAGTTATTTTTCCATTGCTACAGTGAAACATAAATTACTAACATTAAAAAAGTGGAAATTATGTCCACACATATATAACAAGCAAAGCTCGGGTCATTTAATACAGCATATCTGCAGATTTTAAAATCAAATTTAAGACTTCAAGACTTTTTTTTAAAGATCTGAACCAATAAAATTAATACTGTATGTTGATACAGAACAAACCCATAAAATCTCAAACTAATGCTTAATTAAGCAGACTGGGACACATTTTCAATGAGGACTCATATCAGCAAAACAGGGTAACTGCAAAACATGTTTGATTAAATAGATACATATGTATTGAAATTGTTTTATGTACCAATATATAAATAGATCCAAATTAGAAGTTGGTTGATATTGGATTATTGCTGACACAATAATAATGTGAAAAGAATAAATATACAGATTATTGTGCAGAGTAAAATCTATGAATGTGTTAACGTTCTTAGAGTTTCCTTCATGTGATGGGGTGGAACAGAGTGAAGCTAAAAGTCTTTAAATGAATCCCAGATACAGTTTGTTGTGTAACCAAAATACCAATAATAATAATAATAATAATAAAAAGATTTTCATGCATAATGTGGGCCTTTTAATAATAAACTGAACTACACAGACTCTTAAAATGAAATGTCTATGCTTTACGACTTTCAGATGCTCAATCAAAAAGATGAAGGAAATAGAATATAATTACAGCCATCTACAACATATTACACTATAAACACCATAAAGTAAACATTGTTATAATTCTTCAACAGTACATTATAAGCAATTGCTTGGCATAAGTATGTGGCGGTGATGGAAAGAGTACTGAAAATGTGCACTCGTAATACTCAATTACAAGAAAAAGTACAGGTGTTAAAAAAGTCATTAAGTAGAAGTTCAAAGTACTCTTCTCAAAAACTACTCCGAGTACTAGTTACTTTTTAACCATTGACATTGAATGAATTGTCAAAAACCACAATCAAATCAGAGATCCATGGAGAAAATAAAATATAGCAATACAAACATAACTTTGCTTTCCATTTAGTACTTAAACACACTTCGAGCAAGTGAAAAATATCTACATCTATCTAAATATATACAGCCTTTGATTGGTTACCTTGATTTTGTTTCTCGATGTTTTTTCTTAATCACCACATTTAAGAAATGCTATAGAGTCCATAAAACTCATCAAATCTCCACGAAGCACATCAAGTGTATTGGTTAAAACATGCCGGGGCATTTGATTGCACATTACATTTTGACATTATCTGCTTGCAATCATAATGCAATAGGCAGAAAGTACATTAATACTTTAAATAAAAGGGTTACTGAGCTGTTGTTTATATCAGAGGCGTCATGCCCATTCAAACCGTGGGGGCACATGCCCCCTCAAATTTTTTGGATTAAAAAAAAATCCCAAAAAAGTGGAATTTGAACGCAGCTTCCAAAAGTCAAAAAATAGCCAAATAATATTTTTTATATTTGATTCAGTGCGGCACATCACCAACTTCCAAATTCAAATCTGCGTTCATGCTTTGGCTGGCGCTGAGCCAAAAACATGTGTTTTTACAGTGCTGTGCATTATAACCAATCACACACGATACATCTCTGATTGGCCATTGCATTCAAGAAATCAACAGACATGTCTGTGATTGGCTACATTGCTCAATACGTTGAAAATAGAAAACAGAAACCTTTGACACTCTCCAGAGCGCAAACACAAATACGCACTGGATCGTTTGCCAAATCTGTTTTACCAATATGTTGTTATTATAATTACAGCTTCAACTGAGGGTGTTCTTGCTTTCGTATATCTAGTAAAACTACTGTAGCTAATTACTTTTTCAAAGGGTTAGCTTGATAGTACTTTAACTACTTAACTGTGAGTAGCTTGTAGCTTAGCAAGCTACTAAGCTTTCAGGAGTCAACGTGGTAAGTGTGTTTATGGATGTGTGTAATCTACCTGTGCCTGGATCTAGATCGCTTTCTTCGTGAGTGTGATGGGGAGCGAGAGTGAGATCTGGACCTTCTGGAATGTCTAGATCTACTGGATGAACCAATTTTATCATCTGGAAGAAACAATCAAAACTCTCATCAATTAAAAAGAAAAACATTTTGAGAAAGCCTCACTCTGTGTGTGTGTCCAGGCTAGAAAGGACAGACCTGGCTCGATAGAAGCAGCGATGGTTGACTGAGCCTCTCTGACTTTCTTCATCACATCCTCCAGCTCTTTGGCCGCAGCTTGAGGTGTGAGCTCTGGAGGCTTCACTATGGCATTATTGGAGTGGTTAATCCTAAAAAAAGTTGATTAATTACTAGTAAAATATATACTGCTTGCACACAGATAATACAGGACACACTGAAAATCTTGTATTAAAGAAAACTGGTAGGTTATTGAGCATATTTAAACATATAAAAGCATATCTTTTCTCAAAAAAGAACACTCACTTTAGTGGTCTGTCGCCAAACATAACTCCATTAAATGTAAGCGCTCGTGACACCGATTCCTGATCAGCAAACTCCACAAAAGCAAAACGTGTAGGTTGGGTTTCATCTCCTGCCATTCTAACAAACTTAACATCTCCCACTTGCTTGAAGAACTTGAGGAGCTGATCTGCTGTGGTGCTCTACAGGAGATTGGCAGAACAAGTGCAACATGCTTGAAAGACAAAAGTGAATCGTGTCATTTTAGATGCCCACTTTAATTACATCCATCCACCACATTTCTCATGTAGTGGCAATTACGCTGGGGTGACTTGTTTTGGTCTGACTGTTTTTCTTAAATTATGTCACACCAGTTCGTTCTTCAAGTATATCGGGGTCTTAAGAACAGTGGATTCCCATTCTTCTCCCTTTTCCATCACATATCAGTGAAAATAAAATAATTAATAATAAAAAATTATGAAGTAAATATTCAAAAATCAGAAACAGTGCCTAATATACGTGAAATTGGATGTGGTGTTCTTATTGCATACTGTTTTATAATGTACTCCAAATACACTATCTGCCACTATACAAGTATAAATAGTATCTAACACTATTTGCACTTGCAGATAGCCTCTGAATGAATTCAATTCATTTTCACATACCTGTGAATTTAAATTGCCGACATACACCGTCCTCCTGATCTCATCAATTTTAGAGGGATCTACATTTCCCATGAGCGGAGGCTGTGAAGCAATTGCATTTAGAGCCGCCACAGATGTGTCCAAACTAGACTTCAGGACCCCCAGATTAGCTAAAGGAAGACCTCGCTGTCCGCAAATAAATGTAACACAGTGACAACTGACAATTTGAAATAAAATACAGTAAATCTGTGACATGCAGTTGATGTAGGTGACATTTTTTCATCATTCATTAAAGGCTGGAATACATTACACAACTTTTAAATCTGAAAATAATTTAAAACACTAGGCATGATACACTTGCCGACTTTGAAAATGAAAAACTGGGTCTTCATACACTTCCAGACTTTCAAGTCATTGCTAACACAACAAATTAATGAAGAAACACATGCCTCATTACTAGGAGACACGCAAGTAATAAAAATTATATGTGTTCTGAAATCATCCCAAAAATATTAATATTTAACATCCTGCGACTGATAGAATCATTGTCTCAAGCTAAAAAAAAAAAAAAAAACACTGAAAATGACTTTCTGTGAAAAGTGTCAACTTTGACCGCCCACAATCTGCAAACTTGCTGTCTTTCACCAACTATCACTGGCTCTTCCAAACTGCAAATCTGGGGGAAAAAACAGTGTAGTGTATTCCAGCCTTAATTTGCGAGATTGTGTTTTTACATTCTGTAGTGTAGTGGGGCTAGGAATGGGCAGAAGTCCTCCTCCGCTCATCAGGCTGGTCACTGGGGCGGCGGGGGCCAAAAGTGAGAGTGCCTTTGCCTCTTCAGGGATTTTTCCTGAAGAACAAGAGCACTGGCATTAGAGAGGCCAATGGAGACATCTCCAGCTGCTTTACCTACGACCCAAGATTCAGAGGAGAGTTCTCTAACAGCCTAGCGCTCTAACACCCACCCTGAGCATCTCCAACCCAGACCATGAACAATCAAACAATCTGAACTAGCATAGCTACTCTCTTTTTACTATCAACACAAGATATACTGTAAACAGGATGACTTTTGCACAAAAACAGAGAAAAGAACATTTTGATTAGTCCTTTTCTCTCTTTTAAAAAAAAAAGATCAGAACAGAACATGAAGAGAATGAGTTTAACACTTTGTGGTATGGGTCACCTGTACTGGAAACATATTGGTCATGAACCATACGATATCAAGCATGGGCGCTTTTCTCCCTGGGGCGATCGTGTCGCAGTGTTGGAAAGGGTGTGCAACACAAGACAACCGTTCATGTTGGCTGCATCACACTAATAGCACATAGAACATCAGATACAGAAAAGAAGATCATTTTAAGTGTCTTTGAGAAATCCCCCCTCAAACCGTCACCCCTAAAAAGTGTTGCCTTCACAATAAAGTTAAAAACAAATCACTTTTCCAAATACGTTTCAGCCAATGTTGGTAAAACATATAAACGCATGCTTTGTGCTTACAGTGGCTATAGTACTCATGGGCAAACTGACTGTTGGTATATCTGTGCTTTTGTGTTAAGAACTAAATTAAAACCTCAAATGTGACTTTCAGCCACTTCAGTACTACTCTAAAGTCAATGTTCCCCAAAACCATGCAATGGAGTTATACATGTGCAATGGTGTGAGCTTTTATAAGAACCGTTTCATTTCTTGCCATTACAGTTAATTGAACAACGGTGCCTTGCAAAAATAAACAATTCTAATCACTCTTCACTAGCAATTCTGTCATTTTACTGAATTACAGATCCTACACAGGCACTGTTAGAAAAATATTTTATTATATCTTTTCATGTGACAACACTGAAGAAATGACACTTATTGCATACTGAAGAAATGACACTTTGCTACAAAGTAGTGAGAGGCAAAGAACTCTCTGAGGATCTGAAAAAAAAGAATTGTTGCTCTACATAAAGATGGCTTGGCTATAAGAAGATTGCCAAGACCCTGAAACTAAGCTGCAGCATGGTGACCAACACCATACAGCGGTTTAACGGGCCAGGTTCCACTCAGAACAGGCCTCTGAATTCGTCTGAAAGAAGAAAGTCATCAGGGATGCAAAGCAAACCCATCATGGGTGAAAAAAGTGACAAAAATAAATTGGGGGAAAGACATCTCCCCCAATTTAAACAAATTTTTTAAACACATAATACTTTACACTGTTTATTATTTTTTTTAACTCTATAGTTGTGCAGTAAAATTCACTTTAAAGATTCACTTTTGATTTATGAAGATATCATGAAAAAAATGTGCCAAAAATCCTGGTGGAAAACAAAAACTTTTAAGATGAAAATGACATATAGCCAGACATATTGACATATAACCAATAGATGGCAGCGGAGGAACACTCATTAGCTCAGTTGCCATTTACACTCCCTAGTTTTCACATTTTGCTTTTGGGTTTATTATAAAATTACTATTATAACAAATTTTAGTAGCAAGTACATTTAAATAATAATGCATTAAATATTTTTTTATATTTTTATATTTAATTTAAAAACTATGTTTGTAAAACATTGCCTTAAAAAGGACACATCAAAACGAGTGCTTTAAGTTTTATCTTTAACTGTAGAAGCTGCAGTTAGAAATATATTCAGCCAACACAGACTTCTTTGCTGCTGTAGTTTTGTTACTCTGTCAGATAGTTTGTTCTGTCCATATGCTATGTTTTCACTGTCAAACATAGCAATGACAAACAAAACTTTTCTTTGAATTGTGAGTAGATTATGTAGAGCAGTGGTTTTCAACCTTTTAGGACATGCCCCCTTTCTCTTTTGCTGTTTGATTAACATTAATAATATAAGAAATGCACGGATCCATTATACTGTACTTATGAGAATACTCGTCAAGAGCCATTCAGACATAATTTTGTTTGTATTTGCTCAAGACGTGAAAGAGAACTCATTTACCGGGGTATGGTTGCACCCTAAGTTCTTACTTGAATTAGAACATTAAGTCCACACTAGAGGCTTAGTAACTAATAGCTAGTGTGTAACTAAATCTATACATTATTCGGTTGCACCAGTTGTTCATAAGGCAAGACGTACCTGGTAGTTCCCTTTCGAGATGTCTCTCGATGTTATGTACAGCTTGCTAACGCATTGGGGAAACACCTTTCTCTTTAGAATACTGAAGCCTGACTCTACAATGGCCAATGGCGCATTGAAATTAGGGGGCGTGGCACCCCTTATAACGCAGCGCTTGGCACCATTTTCCTGAGAATCTTTCTCTTTTACCTGAATTATTTGGAAGCCTCTCCTTCGTCGTCAAGTCATCGCAAATGTGACTAAATCTCAATCCTCTGCAGCGTTCCGGCAAAGTTGTGACATGTCCTTCAAACTTTGTTCTTCCTGCTCGGGACCTCTACAGCTCCCTGACGATCATGACAGGTAAAGTCCGCCATTGAGGAGCCCAACTGCCCTTACTGTGACACCAAGAGTGTCAGGACACTCCGTAGGAGGATAGCCCTCGTACTCAGTGATGCATCTACTCCCCATTTGCCATCCTTTTCCTCTACCACTCCTCCGGAGCCGCAAAGTAAGAAGCAACGGCCACTGGTTGCGGAAACCAACACTGCTGTCAGTGAGCTCACGCCGGCGCAACGACCGCGTGCCCCCTGCTCTCCAGATCAACTCTCTCCGGTGGATTTCTTGGCATCCCTGAGAAAGACTGTGACGATGCCATGTCCACCGTGGGGTCAGATCTGGAAGATTGGTCAGCCAGCCACATGGAGGACTCCAACTCATCACAGCGAGATCTACAAACCTAGTCACACAGATCAGGATCTGCTGCGTATCATATCTAAGGCGGTGGAGGAGCTCAACCTGGAATGGTCCACTTCTACTGAATCAGAATGGAATAGACTGGATGAGTGGTTTCTTCAGCCCAGTCGATGCCGTGAGGCCGGCCCACAAAGGCTCTTGCCCACATCTCCGGCTCTGCACTTCTGACAATGGTGGATGGCGTCGATCTGCGCGGCTATTCAAAACTCCTGCCGATTGAGGAGGCCATCGCTGCGCATCTTTGTTCCTCCGCGCTGCTGAGGGTGAAATCTGCAGCAGAAATTTCCTGATATTGCTAGGTTTCAGGACCATAATGGGAACCCTTAAAGGGGGGGTACAATACTGTTTCATGCATTCTGAGTTATTTACACTATTAAAGAGTTGGATTCTTCTGCCAAACATGGCCAAAGTTTCAACAAACGATTTGGACGTATGACGGAGTATTTCTTCTGGGTTCGAAAAAGTTTTGGAAAGTTTTTTTCGAGCATGGCTCTTCATTACGTCACGAAGTGTGGAATTTCTTGTATGGGCACTTCTCCAGGAAGAGTGCGCGCACACAGCAAATAGAGCGAGAGCAAGAGCGAGAGCGAGCGCTCATCAACTTGCTTCATTCGGGTTACGGAAGTTGTCGGCGGCGCTGCACAGGACTTGCTCGAGAAGAATGTCTCCAAAGAAGTGTTTTTGGATGTAAGGGAAAAATAACCTTGTTCAGCTTCCCAAAGAACCCAGCATTAAGGGAACAGTGGATGCAGTTTGTTTTTCTGGGAAAGCAATGGAGTTTCGCACGTGTGTTTGTTCCCGTCATTTCGGTGATGAATGTTTTATAAACAAGGCCCAGATCGACGCTGGATTTGCAGATCGTTTCATACTGAAAGACAGAGCGGTTCCAGTGATAAAATATACTGGTCATGAGCTGGAATTGCAGGCGGCGAGTAAAACTGCTTCAAATTTCTGTGTTTTGTTGGCAATCAGCGCGTAAGTGCTCGGGACTCTTTAGCTCCACCCACGGCATGCCTCCAGGAGCTCGGCTGTTTTCTGAGAGAATCGTAAAGCTGCATCTTTCTTTTGTAAATCTGATAAAACTAAAGAATCTTCAGAGATATGAAGGATGCAATACCACTATATAGGTACTCAAGATTAACATGAGATTGGTGAAAATGTGTGTGTTATGTCCCCCTTTAAAAAGAGACAAGGCCCAAATCCTGAAATCTTTAGAGAGCTTCGCAGCGCCACTGATCTCACCCTGTGAGCCACTAAGATGACGGCACAGTCTATTGGCCGTGCCATGGGTAACGTGGTTGTGCTGGACAGGCACCTATGGCTAACGCTGATGGACATGAGGGATGCAGAGAAGGCCGTCCTTTCGAACACCCCTATCAGTCCCTCTGGGCTTTTTGGCAGCTCGGTTGAATCCCTCACAGAGCAATTCTCTGAAGCACAAAAGCAATCAAGGGTGAAAAAGCACTTCATGCCGAAACGCACAAGTCAGCCCACTCCTGCTCCTCATCCGCTCAGCGCTCTTCCTCTAGACTGCAAGCTGATACAGCTCCAAAGCCCTGCCCGCATCCAGAGCCTTCGGTGCGTCCCAAGGACTCATGGCATGGAATCGGCTACAAGCTTCAGTTTGCATGCAGACCACCCCGGTTCAACGGCGTGGTAACGTCGGAAGTTGAAGCCTCAAATGCTCCAGTTTTAAGAGCAGAAATACACAATCTCCTCGCCAAAGAAGCCGTGAAGATTGTGCCTCCCGAGGAACGAGAGACCGTTTTTTACAGCCGCTATTGTTTAGTTCCAAAAAAGGATGGCAGTCTTTACCCTATTCTAGATCTACGTCGTTTGAATCACACTCTAGCGAAACGTTCATTAAAAATGATTTCACTGAAACGAATCCTATCGCTCATTTAACCCCGGGACTGGTTTATTTCAGTGGACCTAAAGGATGCTTATTTCCATATCCAGATAGCCCCTCATCACAGGCAATTTCTGAGATTTGCTTTCGAAGGAGTGGCCTATCAATTCTCGGTACTCCCCTTTGGCCTCTCCTTAAGCCCAATTTATACTTCTGCGTCGAACCTACGCATAGACGCACACCCTACGCCATAGCCTGACGTGCACCTCTCCAAAAATCTAACAACGCGTCAATTCTACGCGGACCGCAAGCCCTGTAGAACCCCTCCCTCCATATGCACTTGAGTTTTGTGTGTGTTTATGTGCACTTTAATATATTTTGATGTTACACCTTCTTATATAAAATAAAACAAAGCAAAGAACAAGTGTCTTATCATTTATTATACTACATAGCATTATACATCAGTAGTTGTCTGCGACAAACAATGTTGATCTGCCGTGGTGCAAGTCCATGTAAAGATTGAAAGTATGCCATCTTCTCCTGTTCCGTTGTTGTCTCTTTTTTGTAGTTTTAATTAATGATTTAATGATTTGATATTTATTTGCCACCGTCACGGCTATAATGCTTCTCCCACGAGCCGCTTCTTCTTCGGCTTTTGCCGTGGTACTGCGGGTTACACCAGCAACATGCCCGAGGACACTACAGACTAGCGGTTTGCATGTGTACTGCACGTTGACGCGGACAACGACGCAGAAGTATAAATGAAAACTGACGCATAGCCTACGGCGTAAAGGCTACGGCGTAGGTCCAACGCAGAAGTATAAATCAGCCATTAGCTCACGCACTTTCACCAAGTGCATGAATGCAGCCCTCTCCCCACTTCGATGGGAATACGAATAGCAAACTACCTAGACCAGGGGTCTCCAACCTTTTTTACACCACGGACCAGTTACGTTTGGAAAATATTCTCACGGACCGGCTGGACGGGTGGGGGTTTGATGGGATATATATAGCCTAATATATATATATATATTATGCTATTATGTATTATAATAGCATTATATAGTGGTTCAACACATTATATTGTGGTTTTTCCATAGTTTAATGTGAGGTACGGATGAATATTTAAGTCAAGTTCACGTAAACTCTTCTCTCCACAGCCTGTCTGTCATCCTCCATTCAGCATTCAAAAAGTGTGTCACGTTCGGTTATGACAGTCAAGACAATGAAACTCTCTCAAAGATGATTAAATGTTCCTAATGTTATACTTGATCTGTAAATAAAGATAAATGGTTTTGCATAAAAGGAATTTATCTTGCTGAAGTTTCGTGCTGTTTCTAAATAGTGTAAATTTCTACCGGATATCTGGTTAGATCACAAATACAAAGAGCAATGTGTAGGCCTACCCGATTTAGCCCTACACTTATTCACTTTTATTTGTTACCCACTAAATAATTTTTTTTTTTTTCACTAAAAGTTTAGGATTTTATCAAATTATTGTGCACTCGTGATTTTTCTAGAGTAACAACTTCTCTATGCTGCGCGCTGTGACTCCGTGTTGCTTCAAGCGCGTCATTCTGCGATTGGGATGCGCATAAGCGCTTTGAGCCTCTCTGTATTTGTAGCCTTTAGTATCATAAGAAATTCTACACTGATTTAAAAAAACTGCGCTGGTATCGGATTGATATCGGTATCGGCAGATACTCAGAATTTTTGGTATCGGATCGGTATCGGTTCTGAAAATGTGGTATCGAGCCATCCCTAACAATCAATATGCAAAAAAGCCAGCTGCAACCCAAAAATCTTTTCCTGGGTGTGAGTTTGGATTCTATCTCCATGCGAGCTCACCTGCTACCGGAGCGCACAAGCAAGCTGCGCACAACATTGAGAGAAATTTTGAAATGGAACGTCTCTGGTTACTAAAAGTAACTTCGGTTCCCTGAGAGGGGAATGAGACATTGCGTTCGTGCCATGTCACTTTCGCTCAGGTCTTGTTCAGTCGAAGATTCTGAGGAAAATGGCACCAAGCGCTGTGTTAAAAGGGGTGCCACACCCCCTAATTTTCACGCGCCATTGGCCATTGTAGAGTAATGGCATTAAGCGAATCAGACTTCAGTTTTCTAAGGAGAAAGGTGTTTCCCCAATGCGTCAGCAAGCTGCACGCAACGTCTCATTCCCTCAGGGAACTGAGGTTACGTTCAGTAACCGGAGACTTTTGTAAGCTCGAAAGATAATGTGTAGTCATATAATATGACGTTGACCCTAAGTGATCAAATAGATAGATAAAGCCCACCTAAAAAGGACCACCCCTGGTCCAGCGTGCATAATTATACTGAAACATAAATATATAACCAGCTTACCTGACCCAGCTTGATGGCTGAGCCTGTTTCTGAGCACAACTTGAGAGGCATACACATGCCAAGTGTATGCCTCTGAATTAAAAGGTGCTGGCTCGCCCCACAGGTTGAAAACCCCTGATGTAAAGCTAGAGAAACCGAGCAAAGGGCGTTCCATTCTTATAGCGCAACTGACCGAGCTTTCTCACACGTAAACTCCTGATATCATCAATGACTAACTACACCAGTGGTCACACCAAACTCGGTCCTGGAGGACCTGTGTCCTGCAGGTTTTGCTCCAACCCTAATCAAACACACGTGAAACAGCTAATTAAGGTCTTACTAGGTATACTAGAAACTTCCAGGCAGGTGTGTTGAGGCAAGTTGGAGCTAAACTCTGCAGGACACCGGCCCTCCAGGACCGAGTTTGGTGACCCCTGAACTAGACTATCAATATGTGCACTGTGTGTATGCTTTTTTTTCTCGTTATAATATTAGGAAGATATGTGAGCGTGTAGAACTCCGTAAACTTGCGAAAACCAAAATTAGTTCAGAGCACTGATCTATACAACTCTATTATAGATCAGTGGTTCAGAGCGGATTCTGACTAACCTACAGTAAACACCTCTGATTGGCCATTGCTTTTAACAGAGATGCCTGTGATTGGCTACAATACGCAACGCTGCAAAAACATTGTAAATTGAAACTTTTGGTTTTGTAATTGGAAACCAGAGCGCGCACACAAAAACACATAGGACTCAGGAGTGAAACATGTAGAAACTCCCCGGATCTACACGAATCACACAAATGACCCATTTTGAATTCAAAATGGCAAATTTCACCGAAATGTGACACGTTTGCATCCCTGAGAATGACTGGGTGATTTTGCAGGTGAGCAGTTAGTAAAATAAAAATTAAAAAAGCTAAAAATTACCTTTTTAAATAAAGAGTCTTTCCTTGAGTTTTCACAGGCACAAATATTTCACAAATATTAAAACAATTTCATAGTATGTCTGTAAAATTATAATACTAATATTTACATCTTAATTTATTTATTTTCAAACGCTAAACTATTAGGCTTACAGTAGCTTAAGTAAATGAAATCCAAAATCATAGCACATTTATTTATTTCATTAAATGGCAACCTTTGCTATTTTTATATTCACACTAAGCCATATTGAAATGTCAATTTTATTTTGATAGATCATGCAGCCCTAGAAAATATGCATTAAAAAATGCTGCAAGACAACCTGTTTTAGCTTAAAAACTGAAGCTTTGAAAACTGAAAGTCCTGATCTCAATCCAACATTGAACATGTAGCTATATTTGAGCATCAAACGACTAAAGATAACTACATACTGTGCTCAAAATTTAAGTAACTGCTACTGTCTTTTAAGAATATTAAGAATAAATTATAAAATAAGAATAAATAACTGACAAAATAATAATTAATAACTAAGAACATTTAAGAATATTTTCTAAAAACCTGACATTCAATTAGTGCTATGAAAAATAAATGTATTTCAGTACTTATAATTCAGTAAAAACAGAAAATTGGTGAAGGGTCTGAATACTTTGTGAGGCACTGTGTGGCTATATTAAATAAAGAAGGAATATATTATTTTCCAAAGTAAAACCCTAAGCAGATCAGTGGAGAGGAGCGAGAGAAAGAGAGAGAGGAGGAAATCTTAATGCATTAGATATCAGTAAGAGCTGCCCTTGTACCGTTCAAACTTCCCTCCAACACTGGGCGGCAAGTCAACCTGGACAGCGTTCAAAGACAGGCAAAGGGGTGCAACTGTGGGATTGGGGACGAGGGACAAGGGGACAGGAAAAAAAGAAAAAAAAAACAAAAACAAAAACAAAAACAACACAATGAATATGCAACTCTTCTAAGAGGCAAAAAAGGGACAACATGTGAGAGAAATTAAAAAAAAATAAAAATAAAAATAAAAAGAGACAAGGTGTCCATCTCGGAAGGTTCAGCAGCTACGCTCCTGGTCACATTCCCCCCTTGAAGGCAGCGTGGGCCCCGGCGGGTATAGTGGCTTGGAAAACAAAGCCTTGAGTCAGGCTAGTGTAGTAGTGTAGCCTGGGTCACTCTAGTCATCTGATATGCACACATAATCAACACAGAAAAAACATACAGAAACCAAATTAATCAACGTAGTAAGCCATCCAGAACCATAGATATTTTCAGCAAAGATGCTTTAAATTGGTCAAAAATTCAAAATTTTTGCCAAAACATTTCAAACAACTGGTGTTCTCTTGAACTTTCTAAAGAATCTTAATAAAAACATAGCACAGTTCCCACTAAAATATTAAGTAGCACAACTGTTTTCAACATTGATCATTTTTTTGAGAACTAAATCAGCTTTTCAGAATGATTTCTCAAGGATCATGCAACACTGAAGACTGGAGTAATGCTGCTGAAAATTCAGTTTTACAATCACAAAAATAAATGACATTTTAAAATATATTAAAATAGAAAACAGTTATATTAAATTGTTGTAATGCAATATTACAGTTTGAACGTATTTTAAATCAAACAAATACAACCTTGGTGAGCATAAGAGACTTTTCAAAAACATGACCCCAAACATGAATGAATTTTAAATGAATGTTTTTATCAATCTGTACCTTGATTTTGAGATATTATTTGTGAATTAATACATTCATAATTGATTCCTACACTTAATTTTTAAGTGCCACTCCTAGTCCTCCATACCAGTGACTTTTAGTGATTTTGTGCTTTCACCCTGCTTTTCTAATTTTCTAGCAATGCATCAGTTCACTGTTAAACCCCTATTCAAAAGGCAAAACCCATTTATGAATATGAACTAATGACTGTGTCCCTAATCCCTCGAGTTTAGCAAAACACTAAAAGCGTGTTCACACAGTCCTGATGCTGTTACATAACACAAAAGAATGATCTTAATCACCTCCATCATTTCCACATCCTCCAGCTCAACTGATAAACAAGTGAGCTGGTGTCACTCCACCCACCTCCAATGAACTCACAAAATAAAACAGAGCTGATAGCAGTGATAGCTCAGCACACAGACTCATGGTTATCATACAAATCTGGGACACAAAAACACACAAAATAATGACAGGAAGCCAATTATGGTTTGTTCTTCTCAAAAGTTTGATTTGCAGTTAGATAGTCAGTGTCTTTGTATAATCTGGCACACAAATGTAACACACATGCAAATGTACTAACCTTCAGCGCAGGGCACAACAATCAAAGCTCTGTCAATAAAAACAGTGTTGGTTAAATGTTGTGCCACACCAACACTGGAAGGCTCTCGATACTTTATGTAACAAACTTTGGATGAAAAGGAAAGCGGTGCATTGCTGAAAGAGAAGAAAAACAAGGATTTAATTCCCCTTTTTTATGAATATACTGTAGATATAATATGCTGCATAGGACTGTACTTTTCTCTGGTCAATTATCAAAAAAGAAGATATGAACTTTGTAAAGTCAGAGTCTATAAGGCTGATCTTAAGTGGAGTTAAAATACTATGCAAAATAGTGCTGTAAAAAATTAATGTAGAGGACTTCCTCTGTGGTTTAGCTGCTGTCCTAAGCAATTCTTAAAGGGATAGTCCACCCAAAAATGAACTGTCATCATTTACACTCTTAAAAATAAGGATTTTTTACACGGCACCCCTGCTCTCGACAGACGGCACACCAGTTGCGAAACACTGATTTAGTCAACCTCATGTCATTCCAAAACCTGAAAAACCTTCCTTCTTCTGTGGAATACACACGCACAACGATATTTTGAAGAATGTTACCAAACAGTTTCGGTTCCCTTTTGACTTCCGTTATGTTTATACAATGGAAATAAATGGTAACCCAAACTGTTTGGTTACCAACATTCTTCAAAAGTCTTCCACAAATGAAAGACACACAGGCTTGAAATGACATGAGGGTGAGTAAATGACATGTTTTTGCTGTAAATATCAGCAAAGCTGAAAATCAGCTGTAGGCATGAGGCCACAGATAATAAAGGTTGTGCTGATATTTCAAACAGCATTATGATTGCGAGTCAGAGATTTTGAATAAATCAGCTGACTGAATAATACAACTCATTCATAATACATAAAAAAAACTGTCAATGTTATGAACAATGTTATAAAATTGGAAATCGTTCAATATATTGTGTATCACAAACCACAATTAGTTGATCATTTTTATTTTATTAAATCTGAAATCACAAAAATGTATTTTTAGTTTAGTTTTTTCAATTAAGGTTAGAGTTCTTTTTTTTTTTTTTTCAGTTAATGAATTTTTCATTTAATTTTTAGTTTATAATATTAGCACTATTCAGAAGTCTGCTAACTGTGCTTTTAGAGATTTTAAACAATAAAATGAATTGTCTACAAAAGCAAGTATCCACCTTATTTTTCATTTGTTAATGTAATGTGTCTGACTTCCGGTGTCATCCACTATTTTTAGCTGTACAAAACTGCTGGTTTTTGCAAACTGGTGTTTCTTACCATATTATTTTAATATGTTGTCTTAATAAACACACTGGGTTGTAGCACAAACAATTTTACCGTTTACTGCACTTTGTTATTCTTCTCATTATTTCCCTACCACGGCTAATGAAGCGGAAGTCTCAGAAGCACATTCACAGAAAACAGCTTATTTCCGCAAAATAAGGTGGATAGAGTGCAACAGTGCCCACCCACTTTTTTGGCTGCCTTGGTTCCGGAAGTATTTTTCCCATAGGGTTTTTTTTGTTGTTTTTTTAACTTTAAGAATTATAAGCCACAAATTAAAACACCAGCATGGTGAAACACAAAATTACAAACTTTTATTTATAAAAAAAAAAAAAGGATTTTGAAAATCAGTTTAAAAGAATGTGGATGTAACAGCTTTAATGTAAGAAAGAACTACATCCCATGAAGCATTGTGAATGACATAAATGGATTACAATGGAGAAATATAAAAATATTGATTTAAATGTTGATTTTACATACTGAAACACTACATTTTAAGTTTATTGCAAAATATGCATATTACGCATACAAATATCTAGTGGTCGACTGATATATCGCTGCATATATCGCTGATATTTGGATTTTTTTAAATATCAACCCTCTACGCACACCTTGGCAATATAATTGCCATTGGCTAGTAAATTTTTTGTTTACTCGCCAGACTGATATACTATTTTATACACACACACACACATTTACTTAGCTATCTAAATGGGGACATTACATAGACTTCTATTGTTTTTATATACAGATAGTTATACACTTTTTAACCTAAACCCACCCCTAACCCTACCCCTCACAGAAAACTTTCCACATTTTTACAATTTAAAAATTAAAAAAAAACTTTGTCTACTTTATTTTAACAGTTTTACAAATGAGGACATCCACAAATTTAGGTTTTTGCCGATTTTGTCAGGCTTTGCTCACTTTTGGGTACAAATTTGTCCCCAAAATATGGTTAAATAGGTACAAACACACACACACACACACACACACACACACACACACATGATTCCACCCAATCAGCTTATCTTTGTAAAATGGAACAGCTTCTTAAATAACTGAATGTGCACTCTTAACTTCAGCCAATCAAGCTTTATATTATGATATTATGATAATTAAGCACTATTTAATGATAGATTAGATGATTAGAACTAAAACTTGGTAACCATGAATTAATGCATATTTGTAATTTTAACTGAACTTAGGACTGGTGGTGGTGTTTAAGATATTGTTGGTCATAGGTAATAGTAATTATTATTAAAAGGTACTACTACTACTATTATTATCTGCTGGGTTCATGAATATTAATCACTGTGTCAGTGTTCGCTTGAACTGATTTAGCTCAGTCAGCGTGTTTATCGAGTGAAAATCTGTGTTGAACGCCTCTCACACACATGCTGGCGTGTAAAATCGAAGAATTTATTAGCTAATGGCTAATGTTAGACATTATTTAGTCGCCCAGAGTAAGATTTAGTCGCATTTGCGAGTGATTTACTCGCAATGTAGAGGGTTAAATATCGGCCTCGGCCGATAAGTCTTTCCGTGTGGCCGATGTTTTTCAAAACAGATTATGACACCATATTGTGCATTTATGCTTGCTCTTTAAGACAAGCCACTCAGATGTGAAGCCAGCACCTGGCAGACAGTAAAATTAGCAATTGTCATTTACTTTTTAACGTGACGCTACGTTGGGTTACATACAGTAACACTCCGGCATGCAGCAAAGTCTTATTCAAACGTACCGTGAGACGTCAGATTCGCTCTGACTCAAAAGCCGGTGCACTCCAGAATGAAAGCTGGGTCGACACGAGAACTCTTATGTTAAGTAACAATAATTAGTTTGAATTCCTTTATATGTGTATTCAGGAATATCTGCTGTATTTGATTGCCCATGATTGGCGTAATATCGCGTGTAGTATAACTTTTAATATGTTCCGGGGCTTATTTAATGCTGCTATATGCTGATAACCAAGCATGTAATTATACGCCTCCAGGCTTGCATTATTTTTACAATGAAACAGACAAGCAAAACAAAACAGATCAGAGAACATAAATCTTTATTATTAACCAACTATCCCATACTATAATTAAAACAACCTGTTGCTCGGTAAACTATATATGTATTGTACATAAAATACATGGAATTACACATATTTTTGACATTAATTTATGAATATTAATTTGTTTATTAATTATAAATGTTAGAAAGGCTGCACTAAACCTTGTTCATTTAAGTGTTACCTCTGTTGTTTACATTTTAATTGTTTAGGTTTTATAATTTTTTTTTTTTTCCAGCAAAAGAAAAGGAAAGGCTGCACTTGCACTAATTGTTACCTCAATTGATTATTTTTTTTTTATTTAGGTTTTAATAAATATTTATGCATAATAAATGTTCAATTAGTTTCACCAATTTTCTGCATGTCTCTCATTTACTGTAATTACATGCATTATATCGGCCAGACTGATTTCTCAATATCGGCATCGACCAATAAAAATCCCATATCGGTCGACCACTACAAATATGAAAGCAGTTTGAGATAGTAAGAAAACTGACAGTGGGGGCTAAGTGCTCTTTTGACACGTCACAATTCTCTGATTGGTGGAGATTTATTTGCAGAATAATATAGAGTACAACAGTTGGATTCCAGAATTAAAAACTCAATTCATTTTCTTCATAAGGAAACTTATTTTTAACAATAAACGATAAACCATTAAAGACAGACCTGCTGTGAGCTCCGTGGTTGTTAATCGATTGTATGCTTTTGTTGAACCCATCCATTCGGATTATTTAAATTATTTTTAATTAAGCCGCTGAAAAAGTGTGTGGGCACTAGGGTTGCAAAGGGATGGAAAATTGTCACGCCTAGTCAACCACGCCTACCTAAAAAGGCTCGTTCTAACACGCCCCCACATGTCTACGTCACGATGTGGGATAAACACATTTCATTACACCAAATACACAAAATAATGTTCTTTTTAGCAACATCATATGACCCCTTTAAAGAAACTGTATCATATGCAAACATAAATATAATAATATTTAATTTGGTCATAAGCTGATACTTTTTTCAGGATTCATTAAAGTGCCCCTATTATGCCATTTTTAAGGTTGCTAATATTGTTTTAGGAGTCTCCTAAAACAGGTTTACATGCATGCAAGGTCAAGTTTTTTTTTGTTTTTTTCAGAAAATCTGTTGTGTATGTTTAAATTTTTTCTGGATTCTGTGTTGTAGTATTTAAAATGCCCCTATTATGTCATTTTTAAGGTTGCTAATATTGTTTTAGGAGTCTCCTAAAACAGGTTTACATGCATGCAAGGTCAAAAAACACGTTAGTTTTCTCAAAAAATAGATTGAATTTTACCTCATTTCTAAATTATTTGTAAACGACTCGTGCGAAGCAGTTCAAAGAATCAGTCTTGTTAAACCCCTCCTTTCCGTGAGCCCTCACTGCTGTGATTGGTCAGATGGCGCAGTCCTTTGTGATTGGTC